AGAGTGACAGAAGAGTAAACGAAGCTTCTCCGGGACGAAAATTGGAACGACAAAATGAGGCGTTTACACTTTTTTAAACATTTTTTTACATTTCGTTATCCTAATTTTCACTTCTTATATTAAAAAAAAATTTATATTGAATCTTGATACACATATTTCTTTGAATAACATTAAGTAAACATTTACTTACAGTAAATAAATATTTACTCTATAAAAAAAATGATAGATCAAATTAATGATTTTTGCATCAAATAAATATATGTTTATATTTAGTAAATATTAATTTAGAACTTCAAACAAATAATTCAAACAAATATTTATTAAAATTTAATAATTTTTTTAGTATACGATCTTTGTTTACGCTTCTATCACTCATTACATTCAACTTACGCTCTAATTTTTATTTTCGCCAGGGTATACATTGCCAGTGCTGAAAATTTTGTTATACGTATACGAGTGATAAATTTTCAGTACTGGCAATGTATATCGGAACAGCCCAAAAAGTCTTCCCTTTTTGCATTATCCTAATTAATATTCTTGTTCGATAAAAATAATTATTTCCATTCTTCTATCCTCTTCTCTTACCTCCCACTGGGTCTGATTCGTCCACGCGGATCATGTTCCTCGAGCGATTTCACGACGAATCGGCCGCCGTGGTGGCCGCCGTTCTCTCTCGTTTTTCCGGGAAATAGAAAGAAGAAGAGTGAAAACAGTGAACTTCCTCCGCGATTTCTTTCTGTTTCTCTTTCTCTTTCTTTCTCTTATCCTCTTTTGCTCGCGAAAATGAGAATCGCGGGAAAAAAAGGAGATTTGGCGCGTATTTTACACTCGCGCGCGATCCCTCGATCGATCCGCCGCGAGCCACGGGCGATTATGAACTATCTCGATCGCAGCGGCTGTTTCGTGTCGCGCAGGCCAAGACGGTGGTCTCTTCTTCTTCCCCGGCTCGGACGGATTTAGATTTTCGGCGGACGCCGCGAATTCTGCTGGTCGATCACGTGGCCCTCAACGATTTCGAGGTGGGGATAAAATAGCTGGCATCGCTCTCTCTTCCTAGCTCTTCTCTCTCTCTATCTGTTCATCTCTCTTCATCCTCTCCCTTCATATAGATTCACAATCATTCCCAATCCCGACTGTTGAGATGTAAAGCTCAAGGGTACAATCGTATGCTGACATCAAAGTTGACGAAAGTTACATATCGCATCTGGGAGAGACAAAACGCTACAAACAGTTTGAAAAGCTCTCTGAAATTCAAAGTGACAAAATTCTGTCTGACCTGTTTAGAGCGTGCCTGAAATAAATCGCCAAATCGCTGTTAGTCTCCACGACATTATTATACATTTAATCTTCTTATATTTGTTACATCTTAGTGTCAATACTATGGTTTTTCATATTTATGATGAATGTTTCGATTAATAAAAGTATCGCTATTTTTTTTGGACGATTGACTTCGTCCAGATTCCTCTCCGACCTGGCAATGACGAAATTCGTATTCTAAATTTCATTTATTTATTACGTATAAATGTGCCACGTTATTCAGCAAGTTTCATTCATCAGATATATAAAATGTCTTACCTTTTTATAGTCTACAATTTTGAGAATACGTTCTGTGAGATGAAATAAGAAGAGTAAACATCTGTCAATAAATGGAATAAAATAAAAAGAAGAAATTTTTGTTTCTCCCTTCCTCTCCTTCTCTCTCTCTCTCTCTCACGTCCCTCCTCTCTTTCTCGATCTAAGTAGACAAAAAAATGTCACAAAATTGGGTGGGGAGTCGCGAGGAGACACCTCAAGTCACTCTCCCACACACACACACCCCCTCCCCCATACACACACACATATCAACATACATCCACACACTCACTCACACATAAAGAGAAACAAAAATTCATTCTTCGCATCCCAAACTTTAGATAATTAAAAGGTACATACTTCAGGAAACACTTTGCCTTACAATCTCATTGAATCATAATTGCAATGTACAAACCCCAGGAAAAAGTGCTTTTATAAAACATCGATGAGACATGCTTGGCCCAAATACAGTCGCGGTCCTTGGTGACCTAAATTCTCGCAGGCGCACGTAGCATTCCGATTAGTTTAAACACGAACGTGCATCGTACCGATTTATTACGGCATGTATCTAAGAAGAGCGGACATGACGTTTCCCGTTATCGGTTTCGAGGAAAAATCAAATCTCCGTCATGATCGAATAGTAGCTATAGTGTTTCTTGAACACATTTATTTGGAACAATAACTAGACTTTGAGTAACTTAATTTTATAGCAATTAATTTAGAATTGTTAAAATTAAGTATTAAATATATGATAAACTTTTAAGAAGCGAAAATTGAGAAAATGAAACATAAAAAAAGTAAACACCTCTTTACATTTCATTGTCTCAATTTTCGCCTCCTGAAAGCTTCATTAACGTTTCTATCATTCACTCCCCTTATATTCGATTTATTCCAATTAATAGGAGAATAAGAAGATTAAAATAATGTCATACTGATTGAATTATAACAAAAAAATGACATAAATTCTGTCAATAATCGGTTAATATGACGTCAAATTGAAAAATCTCTTAAATACTGAAAGATCTCTTGAATACTGAAAGATCTCTTGAATACTGAAAGATCTCTTGAATACTGAAAGATCTCTTGAATATTGAAAGATCTCTTGAATACTGAAAAATCTCTTGAATACTGAAAGATCAGTAATCAGTAATACTGAAAAGTCAATAATCGGTTAATATGACGTCAAATTGATATTACATTTAACTTTCTTGTTCTCCTGCGGTTTAACTCTGATTTTTATTTTCGGTAGGATATACATTTGTGTTGTATTTAAATACTTTTATATACTTAAAATAAAGTAGGTACATAATGATACTTATTGGAGAGGAAAAAAGGAAATACGAGAAATTCAAGAAGTTTCGCTAAAGGAGAGCGAATTAATTAACAACATATGAACTAATAATATTGAGTAGCTGCGAGCGTAAAGTTCGAAAATAGTAAAAAAAGTGAAGAAACACCATTTTGAATTAAAATATCATATCACGTTCGCGCATGTCGAGTCGATCGAACGTGCATGCGCAAATCGTCGGCATATCTGGAGTGCTTTCCAAAACTCAACTCTATCACTCCGAGTATCTTTTATCCTTGTTGAACATTCGGTAAAGAACAAGGATAAAAGATACTCGGAGTTGATAGAGTCGAATTTTGGAACGCACTCCTGGCATACCACGCGGTGTTTGGGTTTACTAACCTTACCTAACCTGTAAGAGCACGTTTGAGTTAAAGTTTTATTAGCTATGACTTGTCAGTTAATTAAGGCAAAATTATAAAAGAGCGGTGTTTTCTTTTAAATTATGCCTTTTTATATACTCATTTCACAATTGATATTTCTATTTTGTTGCGTATTTTCAGTTAAAGTTTAAGGTAAGTAAAGGTTTGTTTCTCACGTGGTATTATCGGATGTAAATCTACACGTGAAATGTAATTTAAGTTGTCTTATTATTGGGTATGAAATATAAATAAAATTAACTATATCTTGTTAAATAGCTTCAATTTATAAATTTTGGATTTTAATAGCAGATGTTTACATATATTGTATATATAATATGTTATTAAATGTCGTACTCTTTTAATTTAAAGGATATTAATTAACTGGAATACTGGAGTGATATCAAAATGGGTCAAATGGGAGATAACGATAACATTACATCCGATTGTCAAAATGGATATAACATTGATATTGAAAATAAGAAGAGCCAGAAAAAGTACAAATGTAATTATCCTAATTGCAGTGCTACATTTTTACGACCTAATAGATTGGAAAGACACATAAACTCGCATACTGGAGAGGTAATAGAGCATGAACATAAAAGTAATTTTATTATGTGATACATTAATGTTTGACAATCAATTCTGTTTGATAGAGACCTTACAAATGTGTACATCCAGGATGTACAAAATCATATACGAATTCGTCTCATTTAAAAAGGCACTCAGAAACGCATATCTCTGTGAAGAAAGTTTACAAGTTTGTATACATTAGCATATACTTTAGTTGGACTTAAAGATGTGTGTGTATATATATATATATAGTTTATATATATTACTATCAATTTTAGATGTAAAGAATGCTTAATGTTGATGAGCACTTTACATAATTTGAAACGTCATTACAAGCGAATGCACAGCGAGAAGAAACTCTCCTGTAAAGAATGCGGTATAGCTTTCAACAAGAGATATCAATTAGTTAATCATCAAGCTGAACAGCATTCAAAATCCATGTATAAGTGTGATAAATGTACTAAAAGTTTTGGAACTTTGTCTATATTTGACCGGCATCGGAAGACGCATGAGAAACATTATCCTTGTTCTGAGTGCTCAGAGAAATTCGAAAACTTGATGCTTCTAAATGCGCATACAAAAGCAAAACATGTAACAAGTATGTATTACAGAAGCTTAAATATGTCATAAGAATGTAATTTAGTAGAGCAAAATTTTTATTTCAGCTTATAAATGCGACACTTGTGGCAAAGTTTTTCTTAATAAAGACCATCTAAGAGAACACTGTAAAATACATTTTGAAGACAGATTGGTTCTGCCATGTCCATATGACAATTGTCACAGAACTTACTTTTTTAAATCTAATTTGGATGAGCATATAAGGTCTACTCATCTCGGAAAAAAATTTTATTGCGACATATGCTCCATGGGACTTACGACGAAGGCAAATTTGATAAGACATATTCAACGTCATTACAAACCCAAGGAAAGGAAGAAGAATAAGATACAACGAAAAAAGCGAAAGGATGCTGGTGTACCAAAGAAAAGCGTGCTAAGTGCCTTAATTGGAGTAAATTTGCCAAGTAATTTAGAAAAAATGGTGCTGGAACGAGAAACAAAGATAAACGATACAGCGACAACATTGGAAGCATCTTGAGAAATATTATAACACTTGTTCATTTTCATATGAACATATAAGAGTGATATCTGATACATGTATATTGTTCAAAGTTGGATAATAAATAGAATTGTCGAAATAACAAATTGAGTGTGAATGTGTTAATGAAATTTTTAGAATCAATGGGTATCATTCAATAAGTTTATTGTCTCTCTGTGTACAAACGGATTCTGCGTAAAAAAATTTTTATTTCTTCTAAAAAGTCTCAGAATTTGAAATTGGTATGTCAAATTTAAATCTTATTCTAAGTCACCTTATCGGATAGTAAATTCAAATAATGAAATTAATAATAAATCAAATAATATAATGATTCAAGTTTTATTCATGATGATTCTAATAATCAAATTTGATTCATTGTTATTAATATTGTTAATAAATATTAATTAATATTAATAATCACTTAAATAACATAATTTAATAATTCAAGTCATAAATACGGTCTCTAGGAAACAAGTTCTCGTATTGGATAATGGATATTTATTACTACACATTAGGTCTGTTCGCGTTGCATGAAATCCCCAAATATTTTTGCACTTAAAATGAGATAGATATATATTTGGCCTTGAAAAGAGAAAAGGCGAAGATGCCGAGTGCCAAAAGTGCAAGCAACGCGAACAGACCTATTGCTGCCTAGTACTTTTTACCTCTTTGTTGGTATCAAATATTTTGGGAGAGAAACTTAAATGCGGTCTAGGTTAGGTTAAGTTAGGCTTTATTTGTGCGTCTTTTCCAGTCTTCTGCATAAAGCAGTATTATCCTGAGATTGCTTTCAATTATTTTAGTGTTGCACAATTTTTCTTTTAATGGAATAACTTGTGTAGAATATATAAATTAGCAGTATAAGAAATATAAGCAGTGTTATTAATCGTACCTTTTTATCAACACAAACATATATTTTCTTGTCAAAATGAGATATGCACAGCTAGTAATGGGTCCAGCCGGCAGCGGCAAGGTAATAAATTTAAATTGTTTATTAATCTCATATTAATTGAATACTAATAGCCATCTAAGTTGAACAATTCTGTTAATATTTGAATTTATCTCGTTTTTAAACAGTCTACTTACTGTTCAGTTATGCAACGACATGCTATTGACTCGAGAAAAACGGTAGATGTTGTGAATTTAGATCCTGCAGCAGAATATTTTGATTATGAGCCCTTAGCAGATATAAGAGATTTAATTCATTTAGATGATGCCATGGAAGATGATGAATTCAACTTTGGACCCAATGGTGGACTTGTTTTCTGCATGGAGTAAGTTACTTAATTCTCATTAAATATATTATTTTTCTATATTTTTCTATCTTATTGAAATATATGTTTTGAGTTTACTTAATTTTGCTACTGTCATTTCGTAATTCTCACAACAACCTAATTTTTCAATCCATCTTTTCTAAAATTGATATATGGAAGAAGATTAATCTATACTTTATCAATTATGAATCCACTTTCACATAGAGCCAGACATTAACCCATTATTACTTTTAATGTTTTTATGCAATAAAATCATGATTTTGTTATAGGTACTTAGTCGAAAATTCAAGTTGGCTAGAAGAGAAATTAGGTGATGTGGATGACGATTATATAATATTTGACTGTCCTGGACAAATTGAGTTGTATACTCACATGACTGTGATACGAGAGCTGATAACCACCCTGCAAAAACTTAATTTCCGTATATGTGGAGTGTTTCTGATAGATGTCCAATTTATGATAGATGCATCAAAGTTTATATCGGGAACTCTGGCTGCTCTTAGTGTAATGATAAACTTGGAAATTCCGCATATTAGTATTCTTAGCAAAATGGACTTGCTATCGAAGAGCACACGGAAAAAATTAGACAGCTATTTTGATCCCGATCCATTTAGTTTATTAACTGAAAAAGATCCATGGAACGAGAAGTATCACAGTCTTACAGAAAGTCTTGGTAAAATTATAGCAGATTATAGCTTAGTGCGTTTCTTACCATTAAACATCAAGAATGAGGAAAGTATCGCAGACATAAAATTAACGATCGATAATACCATACAATATGGCGAAGACGAAGATGTAAAAGTTAGAGACTTTGATGATCCAGAAGATAACGAACTAAATGATTCTTAAATCATTTTGTAAAAAAAGAAAAGTTACAATTGTGTATATGATATATTTTTAATCAGTTACTAAAAGATAAAATAAAGATACTGCTACAAACACAAGAAATGCTGTTAATTTATTTTGTATCGCTTTATAAAATTTCCTTTGTACAATATTTTACATTATCAAGTTTCATCTATCTACATACATATCTAATGTGTTAAATACAAACATGAGACATCCGAAACTAATAGTCGAACCATGCGCAATGATTGCACTTCCTTCCCATCCTTCCTCCAGATTGCTTGAATCATGTTTTATATTACACTTGCATAATATTCTTTCATCCGTGTGCGCATTTTCTTCCAAGCAAGATGTTTCCTTATGCAGAATCGTTTTTATTATATCAGAAGTTTCTTCTTCCTTAGTGACGCATATCACTTTATCAGTCTTTTCCTCTTTTATTTGCTCTTCTAAAACACGAGTGCAATCGCAAGAATACAGCACATGATCCACAACCGTTCCATATTCGCTGTAATTAAGCAATTCGTAATGTTTGGTCACCTATAACAGAGATAGACATTAATGAGAAAAGGAAAAAGATCTTTTATGTCAGTTCAATCATTTAACTTTCTTAATTTCTTAGAAATTCTCTATTAAAATGAAAATATACGGTATCTACTTACTTCATCGAAAAATATAACTGCGTGTCTAGGGGATGTAAATCCACATCTTCCATAATTGGACAAAACTAGATCGCAATTCGGGCCATTGCCAATAATGAAGGTTTTATGAGTCATGAATGCTGGTGGATTAGGCTTAGGGCTTAAAGAAAATAATGCGGCTCTTGCTCTTTTATGACAATTTATTCTTTCATAACTTTCCCCGTCTGGATTTAATATTTGCTCGAGCCTCTGTTGAGCTAATGCCTCCAATACTGGTCTTTCTAACAACTGAACACCTTCTTTAATATTATAACTATCGTTACTCGTATAAAAATTGTGATCATTACATTCTTTAGAACTATCCGTTGCAGTTTCACTTTCCGTTTTATTCGTGTCTTCATTCACATTTAATACTTTTTGTTGATCACTTCTCTCATCTGGAGTAGTACCACATTTCTCTCTTTTCATTTTTGCTTCATTAATTCCTTCAGTTTTCTTATTTTCTATACAATTATCTTTGTTATCTATTTTCTCGACATCTGTCTTCTGTTGCTCTTCTTCGTTTGTAATCTGGAGACAGGGTAATATCTTGGCACTAATATTGTTTATAGGCCATATAAGACTATTTTGATAAGAATGTACAGGATCTAAGTGCAGCGGATTCTCATAATGGAACTTGATGCTGCAAGGAACTTTTATTCTTGGGCGACCTTCCAATTTCACCTTCGTGCGAAATAGTGGATTGGCAGCCCGTGCTTTACGTAAAAAGTCTAATTTCACCGCATGCTGATCTATTCGTTGATTGGCATACTTGTCCCAAAGCTTTATACGTTCTGTCACTCTACAAGAAGTCAACAGATGCTGATCTATGAAATGATTTGGATGATTTGGACACATCCATCTGCCGATAGGAAAGGCAGTCAACGGTGGGTCCAAGCAATCTTGATGAAAATATAATGGGCAATAATCACAAGCGATTAATGGTGCCTTTCTGCAACTACGTCTACATTCATAACATAAACGAGCTGGCAATGGAACCATTAAGTTGCTATCCAAGCAATGACTTTTTCCAACTGAAAAAGAAAATTATTGTTTAATACAAACAAAGTCTTAATTTGAGGTAGATTAATTTTTAATATCAGTCACAACACCAATTGATATTGCAAAATATAAATTTATTCTTTATTTATGTGCAAGAAAACAGACAAAACAAAAAAAAGGAAGAGTATATTCAATCCTATCTTGCCTACCATTGTTATATGATGAACTTGGTGGTTTACCTCTTCTGCCAGTTACATAGTCCATTTTATTGCTTCCAGGAAACATAATAGGTAACTGTAACTCCTTGGGTAATTCGAACTCTCTTGGATTTACCAGAGAAGCCGCCAATGTTAATACTTCCAGAGCTGATCTCTTTTTCTTCTCGTTCCCCTTTTCATCAAAGAGTTCCTCCCTTTTAGAGGCACAACGGCAGGCGTAGCACAACCATTCTCCATTAGGAATATCTGTTGGGTCCACTGCTGGATAGCTGTAAAGTAAAAGCTTTAGAAACATGAGCTTTTCTTTAGAACTCAACAGATAAAATTCAATATCTTATAATAAAAATTTTTGAAAAAGGTAGCGATTGTTCTAATCACACCTACTGGCACTGCAAATGATAGGAAGCTGGACATTTGTCACAGCATATGAGCTCTCCACCATCTTTACAAGCGTCGCAAAAGTCGCGATTATGACCACGACCTCGTCTCTTGAAGTATGGATGCTTTTTCTCCTCTTTTTCCTTCTTTGCTTTTGCCGCCTTTGAGTCGTCGGATATTGGTGGTGCAATGAGGGCTTGTATTTGCTAAAAATTATAATTTAAATTGAAAAAACGCCAACTCTTTCACGAAGAGAGACGAATTAAGGAGACCATAGAATTGACCCATGCGATTTTCCTATCTCTTTTTCACATAAAAATTCCATGTTAGTGATAGATCCATTAGTTTTGCTTACCGGCATTAATCCGCCTATCATTGGAAAACCATACTCGACGGTACTCATTGTGGAAAGACAGTTGCAAACGTTGAAAATAATCCAAATTATCCTTTCGTTATTTCTCTCTCACTATTAGTATTCACTCGACTCCACTCGACTGATTCGACGACTCGACCTCCACTTTCCATTCTGTTCCATCTCTCAGTAGTCTCAGTTTTTCGTATTCGCTTAGGGTCACTAAACTCATCTATATCAGGACAAGCGTTATGGCGATCTTCTAGGCTTCTAAATTTTATAGCTTATCTACGTATTCGTATATTATGACTTTTCAGCTGAGAAAAAAAAAACTGATCAAATTGCCAGTTAATTTAACCGTCGATCAATTTATTAGGTAATATTCCCTTAATACAGATAGAATTGTTATAATTTTTTTATAGTTTAATATATTATAGAAATAAAATTAAATCAAGGGATTACATGGTTAGGAAATTTGCTTAAAGCAATTCTGACGATTAAAGTTATCTAATATCGTTTTCGATTGGGGTGCACTGGCTGCACTCAGTGTCAAGAGCGTGTTCGATTGGTAGTACCACTGCGCACTTGGCTAGTGTCGCGTATTCATTTGACTGCACGACATTGGCTATGTTTAGACCGTGCATTTAGGCCGCGGCCTATACAATATGTGTCCTTGTTTATCCTGTAAGTTAAACAAAGACATCTATCGTATAGGTCGCGGACTAAGCGCACGGTGTAAACGTAGCCATTCGCGTAGTGCGCACTCAGTACGCACTAAGGCCCAGTTCCACAACTCATGGTTAACTCTTAACCGAGGTTCAACTTATTCATTGTCTCTTACTAATTTTAGAATTGGAAAAAGATGAGAAACAAGTTGAACCTCGGTTAAGAGTTAACCGTGAATTGTGGAACTGGGCCTGAGGCCCATTTCTACCAACGTAGATTAACTTTAATCTTGGTTCAACTTACTCTTCATCTTTTTCTAATTTCTAGAAGTAGAAAGAGATGGAGAGTTAGTTGAACCAAGATTAAAGTTAATCTACGTTGGTAGAAACGGGCCTAAGGGCCACTGTCACCAAGCTCAGTTAACTTAATTGGCCAGTTAGTCCATCGGAATTGACCAATCGCATTTGTCATTTTGTTTGAAGCACCGACGAGATACTATTAAAGACCGTCAACCCTGGACAAATTTTCGGCGGTATAAAAAGGGCCTCAAGGGCCCGGAGGTAATCGAAGAACGCTGACATTATCGATAATTGATATAAATTTGCTATTATTAA